ACTTTACTTCTTTTTTATATTACTGGCAGGTTTTATGTTACATTTTGATACAAAATTGGAACTGAATAAAGGGTTATTTTGTATTTGTATTTTAACTACAACAACCATACCCATTGTATTGTGTATATGTGTTATTATTACAGTCTTAATAATTAAAACCCTGATGAGTACATCTGGAAATCATTTTTTCTTCGATCGTATGGTATATGAACTTAATACATTTTTGTATAATTAATTGAAAACAAGATTGTTGAACGTTGAACTCACCGCCACACAGCGCTTCGAACAGATGGCTGTAGAGGACAAAAATGCAAAACTTCTCTTTTATAAAAATCTTTATCTTTCTCTGAGACTAGGTTTATTTGACACAAATGATGAGTACTCTCATTGTACTAAATAATGATGTTCTTAGTCCCATGTTTATGAAAAAAATCTTATAAATAATAAAAATGTTGGAGCTGTGTTCCGTCTAAAAAAATAATAATTTATAATATGAAAACGGTGTATTAAATAAATCCCTGTGATAAAAAAAATTAAATATCATTAGAACATGATTACTAGAATATAAGCCTAATATAAAAATGTTAATGCTATATTTAAAATTTTTTTTTTTAAAAAACATTAATGCTGTATTTAATTAAAAAAAAAAACTTAAGATACTATAAATTTACTTTAGGACAACAAAATGCATAGATCGTAACTACTCTGATTCAGAAGAATCACTGCTGACAGAATCTTCCAAATTTATATCCAAATTACAGGTAGATGAAGTATCCTCACATAATAAGATATTTCTGTACATCATTTTCTAATATGTTACTCCTTTGCGTTGTTACTGTTCTTTTTGTTGGTATGAGGGGTTCGGATGTTAATAGTTACCTCTTTAATAGACCATATCCATATATTTTATTTTCCTTTTCTGGGTATGAGGTTTTATAATAAATTGAAAGATGGAAACTTTTTTTATGCGATGTTTCGCTCCAACATAGTGGGCTGTTTCAGGCACAAGTGGTGTCTCATTTGACTGGAAGGTTCATCAATATCTAATAAAGAACACATTTTTTGAAATACAAATAATTTTGAGTTCTTGTCCTTATGATCAAGCCAAGTATTAACAAGATTGGCATTGCTTATCAATTTTACTCCATCTGAAAAGTATTATAAAATAAAGTTCGTCGCAAGCCGACGCGACGCAGGTGAACTATACAAAAATTAAAAGTGTATGAATATGACAACAAAAATATTCAATAAATACGATATGTTTTTTTAAATGCCTTTTTGAAGTTTGAAAACGTAAAATGTTTATACCCATTTAAGAATCATCTTAAAAAATAAATAAAAACTAAACAATCACGAACTTGTTTAGAAATAAATTTAAAGTACATACCTTGTTTAACAATATCCATAGTGACTTTCAATTAAGTATACGTACCGTTTAACTCCATAGTATACAGAACTACTATGAATGTTATTCTTTTCACTGATAAAAAAATAAATAAAAACTAAACAATGACGAACTTCTTTACAAATAAATTTAAAGTACATACCTTGTTTAGCAATATCCATAGTGACTTTCAATTAAGTATACGTACCGTTTAATTCCATAGTATACAGAACTACTATGAATGTTATTCTTTTCACTGATAAGATAATGATCGCAAAATTTATTTCTAGTGAAAATATTTGCTAACAAAAAACGCTGTTTATGAAAAATAATATACAGGATGGTTGAACATTGATATAAGTATAAAATTACATATTCAGATAGTAGTAAATTTTAACTGTTTTTTCGATTTGTGTCCAAGGGACGAAGAAACAAACGAGGCACGAGGCACCATTTACAACCTGGTAAACCAGTAGCTCACAATTCGCGAGCATTACCAGCGAAAACCCGCTGCGGAGGTACTCCAACATACCTCGCTGCTATCACTTTGGCCCGGAGAAAACAATAAACAAAGGATGTTATTGTGGTGACTGTAATAAAAAAGAAAACGAAATTATCGGGCAAAGCCTACAGTAAGATTAGCCATGAAAACATGACTAAAATATGACTACCCGTAGACACTTAGCACCATTTGCAATGGTGCCTCGTGCCAAACCAACAATGCCAAACCAACCTAACCCAACTACGAAGAGAGTATCTAAATATGTGAGGGAGGTTACACCATAACTGGAAATGGTCGAATAAGTTGAAAATGCTGATGATGATGATGATTTCCTATAGTATAGGGAATAGTTCTAGTAGCAGAAACCATAAACCCGATCTAGAAACAAAAAGAAGCTAACTCTACGTAAATATATAAAAACTATCCTGAGTCTTGCAGGTGTTGACATGAGTCAAAAAGAAAATGCTCAGGAGAAATGGTTCTGATCGAAAAATAATGTTTTAGAAAAAGTTACTCACGAAAATATTGCACAGGGTGTTTTAAAGTTAAGGTAAAAAACAACCCTTCAATTAAGCCTGTATTATTATAGGCCAAATGTATGTTGTAACAAACTGAGTTTATGAATTAAAGTTGGTAGATTTATATACAGTTTGCTAACAAAATCAAAAATATAACACTTGACGAACAAATTATCATTGCGTTTTTTTGCATCTGAGAGTTCTATAAAATTAGTTTATTTTTAATTTCCTTCCTTCTCCAACGAGTTTGAAAACCCGACAATTTAAAGCGATCGTATCGACACATCTCCCTCCGCACAATACGTCCTTTTCGAAAAACAATACCCTATATTCCCCCCCTAATACTAACCCCAACCCCACTAAGAGAGTCCGTTCGGGGCGACTTATATTCACCACCCGTCAGAGTAAACACATAATAATATCGGGTTCTTGAAAAACGGCCACTCTCCCCCTCTACCCTTTGAAGCATTCGTAGTCATTCTGTCGTATTGTGGTCCTTGTCTCTGGATATGAGTCGGAGAGAGAAGGACATAAGGCGAGTTACACCGAGTTTTAATCGATATCAATTGCACGAAAGTCTGGATTGTTCGACGCACGGAGACTTATTTCATTTGTTAACAAACGAAGGGAGGCCATATGTGGGACAGGGCTCGAATCGGTTTTCACGAGGGCAGGGCAGAATTATCACATTATTAATTGTAATATTCAGTCACTAAGAAGAATTTTTACATCACATTGCGTCATGTGGAGGCCGATGGTTGCTAGTCTAACCAGAGATGTTCTCTATGGGTATCACGGAAACTACTGGAGATAGAGAGTCGGTTAAATGGGGAAAGAATTGCAGTTTTGTGGGGTCATAAACATGCGCCTTTCAGATTTTTGAAAAAGTTCATGGCATACTAGATATTTAAAAAAAAACTTTTGGCTAATTTAAAAATTGTCCCTAATTCCATTAATATCTATTTTAGACAAAAAGTTTTCAGATAAAAGTTGTAGATAATCACATCCCTCATGAGTTTGTGTCCTCCGATTTTTTCTAAAGCCTGTCATTTTCGACATATGATACAAATATAATTTGTTTTTTTTAATGGAAACCATAGTTGGCCATGATTTCACAAAAAGCGCCATTTTTTAAGCTTTTCAGCGATATAAGCTATATTTTTTTTTTCGAAAAATTACTGACTTAGCTGAATTGAATAGCCAATTTATATCCTTTTGTATAAGTTTATTTGTACTAATCTTTCATTTGGAAGAAAATCGGTATCAAACTTTAATTGTGTTTATACTTATCCTTATACAGGGTGGTCCGAATAGTATTCGGGAAACTTCGGCAGCATACTCTGCAGATAAAAATAAGTAAAAAGTTTATTTTTATTTAATTCTTTTCCAAATAATTTCTGAACTAAGGTCAATATTTGGATGAAAATTGGTATCTGGGTGTTTTTTGCTATGAAAAATTTGATTTCGATGTCAATAAGACTCCTACTTGTAGGGGAGGCCATATACATGGTTTTAACTGTTTTAAAGAGTAATAACTGTTCGTCCGTACTTGTATAAAGCTACCGAGTGAAAAAATATACATTGTCATTTTTTACATAAGAAAGCTTGGCAAAAATCGCTACGAGCAACCGTTCTCAAGATATTTAGAATGGAAATAGTCAATACATGCCATTATCGACAGAAAATAAACATATTGAGTAGATAATTATTTGACTGAAATAGTAAATTTAGGAACTTTTAATTTTTCTTTTAATTAATCATAAATGTTTCTTCGAACAAATTACGATAAAACAGCATTCTGTTAATCCCTTGCAACAAAACCATTTCAAATTTATTATTTTAGTCTTAGTCTAACAATAATTATGTATGATCGAAAAAAAAGGCGTCCAGTTGGCTGGGAAATGACGATCGATAACATTTCCCATATAAATTTACATATAAAATAACAGCGATCTTCGTTTCATAGCCATCGCTGACGCCGTTTTTTTTCGATTATACTCTAGTAAACATGTTTAACTTTTGACAATGAAATGTATTGATTATTTCGTTTCCTACTATTCCAGGTACCGGGTAGATTTTAGTTAGACCTGGACACTTATTTTGAATTATATGGTGCTCGTGAAACAAAATTCCGTAAAAAATGTTATGGATAGTTAGTCATTGTCGTCCAGATTAACATACTAAAAATCCCCACCCCGCCGAGCGTGCAAAGTACCCGAAAACCACCCCTAAAGGTACAATTTTTTAATTTGTGCTAAATATCTCCGATACTGCTAACTTTATTACACCAAAACACTATTTCGCTAACTACCTTAGCATCGTCAGCGAGTGCCTAAAACTGTAATAGTACTTTAATTTTTATAATTTTATAGAGATTTATATATCTTAGTGGGGTTGTTCTGAGGAAGATTAAAAAATTATATTTATATTTTTATTTCCTAATATTTCAAGTTATTTAATAAAACATACTTAGGTAATAGTTCAAAAATATATTTATTAATCTTTAATCTGGTATTTATTATATTATTAAATTCTGGATTGTCCACTGGAACTATTAGAAAGTTCCTCTTAATTACGTTTCAAGAAAACAGGAGAGTCTTTTCAAAAAAATAAATTTTAATTTTATTTAATAAAGTACAAGATGTTTACAGTAAGAGTAAAGACAATGGAATGAATTTAAAATGTGAGAAAAGAGTCTCCTCGGCTTGGTGCAGGTGCTCGTGGAAACTGCAAGGACCGCATCTTCCCATCAGGATGGCCTGATCTTTTTAGCAGGTGTGCAGGAATCCGTGGGCGTGACTTCTTCTTCCTTCCTATTGATTTCATCATAGTCGAAAACAATTATTCTTTTATTTTTCGGTTCAAATTGACTAAAACATACAATATGATTATACAGGGTTTCCCAGAAATAAGTGCAAGTATTTTAAGGGGTGGTAGATCTCGATAAAAGAAACATATTTTTTCTTTATCGTTTTTCAAATAAGTTCAAAATAACGGAGTTATTTTACTTTGAAAATTAAAAAAAAAATGATTTTTAGCTCAAATTTTGAGAACCACTGGATCTTTTCTGGATTTTCATTTTTGTAAATTTAATCTACTACCTATGTTGCCATACTATCAAAAAATTATGTTTTTTAACTAAAAACTAAAAAAATTCAAAAAATTCCGAATTTTCAAAAAAAAAATTTTCGCAAAAAAAACCCTCATAGGCATGTTTCTGGGGTTGAACTATACTGTCGATCGTGCCTAAGCTAACCTGTGACGTAGTTGAGGTTTTTTAATGGCGGATCGAGTTACGAGACAGCCTTATATTTTAATAACCTGGTATTTTTGTTACGGTTAAGGTGCGATGTCCGGTTAATGTCGACATTACCCGGTTAATCTCGAGAATAACGCACAACAAAACAGCCAAAAAATAACCCAAACATTAACCTGTTAATGTCGACATTAACCGGACATCGGACTTTGACCGTAACATTTACATAGCGGACCCACCAAATTTTTACTGTCAACTGTCAAAACTAACTGTCACAGTGACACGTGTCAACATTGGCCAATCTATCGACATACCAAATTTCATTTAAATTGGATGATTTTTTCTAAGTTGTAGGCTGTCTAGGCGGTTTCTAATGTGTAGGCACTTTACCTCCCGCCTGTTTTGTCGCGTGTTGTGTCACACCCGTGTTAAGAAGTTTCACTTCAAAAATAGATTGTGTCTGTCTTTTATATAAGCGGGTTGTATACAAAAAATATATTCCGTATATACGATGTGTGTATTACCTGATGGGCCTGATTGCAAAAAAAAGTAATGACTATTATTATTACATAAACAATTTTGATTATCCTGTACTTCAAAGTAACATGCAGGGTGGGTAAAAAATAAAAAGTTCGTTAAATCGATTCAGGAATATGATACATGGTACATTTGATTTGAAAGATGTTTAAAATAAATTAGGGCAAAATATATATTTATCATTACTCGCCATGAGAACATGTCCAACAGCAGCAATGGAGGTCATTCTAGACCTAACACCACTGCACATTGTCGTCGGTAGATATGCCAATGCGACAATGATTAAAATGGTCATTAACAAAAACAGTACTGGGAGAATTTTTAGGTCAGGGGCTTGGAACACCCTCAAAAAGAAAATTCCACTTCTCCAACTCCCAGTGGATGACATACCAAGAATTTACAACTTTGAGAAATACCTCACTATAGTATTGAGTAATAAAAGGGTTGGAAGAAAGAAACGCTTACTCAGCATATAAAAGACCATACCATCACGTGATATACTGATGCTTTCAAAACCAAAGCAGGGAGAGGGATAGGAGTATTTGGGCCGAAAACTAAATACTCCGAACCAATGGGCATCTACCCCAGTATCCTTCAGGCAGAAATTTACGCTATCGAAAGATGCGTACAATTTATCTTAGATAGGAACTATCAAAAACAGGAAATTGCCATCCTATCCGATAGTCAAGCAGCACTTAACGCGATCAACTCAGTAACCATCAATTCGAAGTTGGTCAAAGAATGCCTAGAGAAGCTCAACAAATTAGGCAAAGAAAATAAAGTCCTCCTACTCTGGGTGCCTGCTCACCAAGGGATAGAAGGCAATGAAAAAGCAAATGATCTAGCTAGGAAAGGAGCGAACACTCCACTAACTGGACCAGAACCGTTCTGTTTTCCAAACGGGAACCAACTGAAAGCGGAACTGAACAATCTGGAAGATCCGTAACTTGGAATGGGTGTCCTCCAACGGTCTAAGAAACTCGAAAAAGTTCCTCAGAACTAACGACCGAGAAAAATCAAAGCTTTTCCTTGATACAAGTAAAAACAATCTTCGGATTGTCACGGGGTTTCTAACAGGACACTGTCTCCTCAACGAACACCTCAGTAGGTTGAAGCTGAGAAACAACGGCGAATGCAGATTCTGTGGGGAAAATGGGGAACCACCAGAACACCTTATCACTGAGTGCGCCGAGACGACGACCTTTCGTGCCATACTGACCTCTGTGGAAGCGTTTCAGATACTGACTTTTGTTAAAGCCCTGAGACTGTATGATGAGTTGTAACTCGTTATAACTCAAAAAGGGGAGCACACAATAGATCTATAAGGTCGCGGTGATTAACTCCCCTCCTAAACATTCTACATTCTACAAATGCTTCGATATCAAATTTCAACCGTAAATTTCAAATTTTAAATCTTGCCTTCATAACACTTACATATAAATATTGTTAGATTATTATACATAAATTTTATATATCTAATAAGAAACATAAATTTAAACAACGCATATAATAAAAAATAAGTCTATTTGATATAGAAAATAACTATTCTATAATAAAAGTTGGAATATCTTTTTGTTGAGTGTTAAATATGTTCGTAAGTGTAGAAAAAAAATATTTATACAAATTATATACCTGTAGGTCACTCCTGCAGCATCAAACATCATTTTCGAAGCTCGTGTTTTGTTTGTATATGCGTTCTTATCAGACATATAAACAATTGTACGGATTCCTGATTGTATAATAATTTTTGCGCATTCATTACAAGGAAACAAAGTAACATAGATAGTACAGTTTTTTAAATCTGTCATATTCTTGTTTGAAATTGCATTCATTTCAGCGTGACATACTAAAAGAATAGAACATCGACTCAGTTTTAAAACGTTTAAATTTGTATTAGTTTTTATATGCATAGTTACCATATAGATGTTTATCCTTTAGGCTTTTTTTTTGTTTAGACCAAGGAAAATTTTCACATCCGTTAGGCATTTTATTATGTCCTATTCCAACAATGATGTTACGTTCGTTCACTATAACTGCTCCAACTTGTGTACATGGGTCTCTGCTTTGTTGAGCAGTTAAAAATGCAGTTGCCATAAAATAGTCAGATTGTTCCAAAACATCCTCGCGCCCTCCATTAAGATTTCTGAAAAACAATAATTATGTTAGATATGTTAACATCGTAACTATTATGTAACTATTATAATATAACAATACCTCGGTTCAGTTGATACGTCCATGGCAATTCTTCGCAGAGAAATATAAATATAGTACTTGCCTGCACTTAAATCAGTACTGTAGTTTTTAGTGAATAGCATAATCACGTATGCTTAAATCTTATATACTTAATCATATACAGCTAATAACAATGATAGATATACTATCACTTATTGTTTTAGGGTTGTATTCATCTAATTCCTGGTAAATTGCAACCAAGTACTTACTATTTTTAATATTTAAAAACAAAATCAATTTACTAACGTTTATAGATTACTACGAGTATCAGTAAAATAAAAATTTATTGTAAAATTATATTAATAATTAATGGAATTTCTGCAACGGTCTGAGACATTCGAAGAAGTTTCTGAGGACATACGACCAAGAAAAATCAAAAATTTTCCTTGATAAAGATTAAGTAAGAACAATCTTCGTATTGTCACGGTTTTTTTAACCAGGACACTGTCCCCTCAACGAACACTTCAGTTGTTTGAAGCTAAGAAAAAACGGCAAATGCAGATTCTGTGGGGAAAATGGGGAAACACCAGAACACCTTATCACTGAGTGTGCCGAGACGATAACCATTGGTGCCATAAACTTTAGTGCCACTGATATTGGAGAACTACCCTCTGTAAAACCGTCCCAGATCCTGGCTTGTGTCAAAGCCCTGGGGTTGTATCATGAGTTATAACTGAAGAAAGTGAGGCACAATAGATCTGTAGGTTCTCGGTGATTAACCCCCTTCTCACTCATTCTACATTCTACGGGTGAATATGTTCATTGTTGACAGAATATTTACCGTAAAGTTGGCGATACGGCGACGTGACGGTGATGTTACGTATAATGAGAATCCCGCATTAATCAACCAACAAGTAACAGCTACTAAATGTTCCTAGATGCCAACACGTATGTACTTTAAATACACGGCAATGATAAGTTTGATGCTCGTTTTTTAAACGATTTTGTGAGCCCGCGTTTCATCATTTTTATTCAACTTTTTGTCCATTACCAATTTCTATTGGATTTATAGATTTCTAATTTCTGTTCTCGTCATCGTTGTTGTCTTATATTTCTTATATATATTTTGGAGAAGAACTATTACATATTACTCTTTTAGATACTTACTAACGTGTACCCGCGACTTCCTTCGCGTTGAATTAATCATTTGTAATGGTGATAATAAAGCAAGGCAAGAATTTCCATACAAACTGGACAAAATTTTCTCACATTTGTGTCAGCATGAGAAAAAACAACATGGCGATATTATTATATAACTTGGTAATATCTGGAATTTGACTTTCGAAAAATCCGTGTGCCAAAAATAAGCTTTTTACGTCAAGCAGTTTAAGCAGAATCGTGGTTAATCAGTTACCCAACTTCGAGCCCAACTTTTTGGAACACCCTTTTTTTTTTAAAAAAATTTCAAAATATGTAAAAAAACAAAATAAATTATGCGTGTCCAAGCGTGTTCCCGAAAGACTAACCGTTTGTTAAATAACAAAGATTGCAATATTTGAGAGGCGTTTTCACCCTCTTGGAATTTGAGATTCGAAAAACCCTTCCTTATCGAACCTCTACACCCCACAGTCAATCCGTTGGCCAAAAATCAGCTTTAAACGTCAAGCAGTTTAAGCAGAATCGTTATTACTCAATGGTCATATTTTATGAAACACCCAAATATGTAAAACAACAAAATAAAATATACGTGTTTAAGTGTTTTTATTTTGCTGTTTAAGTGTTTTTCCGAAAAATTCACCAGTTTTTAAATAAAAAATATTCTAATATTTGAGGGGTGGTTTTACCCCCTTAGAATTCGAGTTTCGAAAAATCCCTTCTTATCGAACCTCTACACCCTAAAATCAATCCGTTCTCCAAAAATCAGCTTTTTACATCAAGCGCTTTAAGCAGGATAGTGATTAATCACGACCAGATTTTTCGAAACACCCTGTATACTTTTTTAAAAATCTTAAAGTATGTAAAAAAACAAAAAAAAATATACGTGTTTAAGCGTTTTTTTTTTCAGAAACTTAACCGTTTTTTAAAATATACGTTTTTTAAATAAAAAATATTGTAATATTTGAGGGGTGGTTTCACCCCCTTGGAACTGGAATTTCGAAAAATCCCTTCTTATCGAACCTTTTTTTTAATCGAATAAATTATCGAACCTGTACACCCTAGAATCAACCTGTATGCCAAAATTGAGCTTCTTACTTTGAGTAGTTTGAGCAGGATCCTGATTAATCAGTGAGTCACTTAAGGATTTTATATATTAGTATAAAAATATTATTATTATTATTTTATATATTAGTATAGATATGTTTTTATAAAAATTTCCTTTTCCAAGTTATCAGGAAGGAACATCAGAAAAGAGCATGCGACTAGCCAAATAATATAACATTAAAACTGTCTTCAAACCTGGAACGATTCTAACAAGTGTCTTAACAAAATCCGGAATCATAAAAAAAAATGAGTGCATTTATCAGGTCCCTTGTGAATGCGGTGAATCTTATATTACAGAGACTAAACTACCTCTAAATGTACGACTTAACGAACACAAAAAAACACGTACAAAGACGTGAAACAATGAAGTCAGGTATTGCACATTATGTGTGGTCCAAACAGTCTAATAAAAAGAGGTCGGAAGCTCGTGTCATCCACAAGAACGTCAGTGGAAAACACGTAAATTTAAAGAAGCCGTTTTTTTCGAAGAGTTTTTCTCCACGATATAGCAACTACTTATAAAACGCATGATTGCGGGCTTTCTCAGTGGACAACTTCACACTTCACCGATGAAAATACGTAAAGGCGTATCTCGAATTTTGACGAAATTTAGATAGATCGGCCAATGCACATAAATTTAGATGTTCTTCAAGTTGTGACGTTAAGGCGTATCTCTAAAACGCACTGTTCGCTTATAGAAAATAAAAAGTTAAGGGCGTTTTGCCTGGCGCTTTGTAAATCGCATAACGTAAAGGCGTATCTGAAATAATGTGTTAAAAAAAACCTTTATAGTACATTTATCAATAATTTTTATCGTTTGTCTTATTAATCTTGCTTTGAGTTAAATAACCTCGAAAAATGAATCTCCCAATTTTAATACTTCGAGACTTATGTTTAAAATAGTAGTCATTTTTCTTAAATTCGCTCCCCTGAAAAATCGTTAAAAACGAGTTACGCCTTTACGTATTTTCAACGGCGACTTGACTGCACTCAATCTTTTCGTGGGTAGTCTAGTATACAGGGTTGTTCACCACATACGACACGGAGTATTGTAGCTAAAGGATTAGATTTTTACAAATTGTAAGTTTTGGGTTCGTTGAAGGACTATTAGAGCTACAATTTAAAAATATTTTTACAAGATACAGAATGTCCCAAATAAATAAAAAATATCAAAGTTGTATTTTTTTTAAATGGAACACCCTGTATATTATATTTTTAGTTTCTACGATTAAAATAAAGGTAAATTTGACTAAGGTTTATTACACTTAAACCTTACCGTTTTTTAAATATTTTCAATTTTGTGAAATTGCAGTAAAAATTTTAAGGCTTCATTTCTCCAAGGGTATGAAAGTTTTTAATACTAAATATTTACTGAAGTTTATTTATTGATCAGTTATTTTGTTGCAATTATAAAAATTGTACTACCTTATACAGAGTGTCTAAAAATTTATTTTAAATAATTACTAGCTTTAAACGGCAATAACTTGGAACATCCTGTATATTTTATGAGAATCAGATGCACAATTTAAAATTGTCTATCAAATTGTATTATACCATTTTTTACCTATCTCTTCAAGAGTCCGTAGAATACGCATTTCCTTGTAATTTAGAACTCATTTATCAATATACCCATGGAATACTGACATTTTAGATTATTTTTAAAGATGTACCAAATTTTCAAAGAGTACAGATACTAATATTGTCCATATTACTAATATAATATTGTCCGATTATTTCATTAAAAAAAAAAAAAAAACTATTTAAATATTTGTTAAAGAGGAGCAATTTATATGATTCCAGTATTCAAACTACATTTTAATTGACTGTTTGCGTTGATTAATAATAATTGCTTCAAATAGTAAAAAACTGAATTTTGTATGTGTATTGTAGTGTGCATGGTAAAAAGTAACACCTTAAAAATGATATTTCATTTTTTGACAAATGCTTATTTATAACAACAGAGACGTTTATTTTCATAACTTATTATTATATTGAAATATATTGATTATATTGAAATTATTTCAAATAAATTTTTAGACACTCTGTGTGAGGTAGTATTATTTTTATTATTACAACACAATAACTGATCAATAAATAAACTTCAGTAAATATTTAGTATAAAAAACTTTGATACCCTTGGAAAAATGAAGCCTTAAAAATTTTACTGCAATTTCACAAAATTGAAAATATTTCAAAACGGTAAGGTATAAGTGTAATAAACCTTAATCAAATTTACCTTTATTTTAATCGTAGAAACTAAAAATGTAATAATATACAGGGTGTTCTGTTTAAAAAATACAACTTTAATATTTTTTATTTATTTGGGACACTATGTATGTTGTAAAAATATTTTTAAATTGTAGCTCTAATAGTCCCTTCACCGAACACAAAATTTACAATTTGTAAAAATCTAATCGTTTAGCTACAATACTCCGTGTCGTATGTGGTGAACAACCCTGTATATACCAAGCTCCAATAGTTTTAGAATTTAATTTAAGGTATTTGATACCGGGTACATCTGACCGGAACATTGTGTAAGTTAAAATAAATAAAGACAATGATTCGAAATTGTTTTAACAATAGCAAGTTGCCATCTTCACCGACAAAAAATAATATTTTTGATCAACGAATGAGAAAATTTATTTACAAGTAATTGGCGGCGATATAACAATGCAACTTTTTTCCATTTCATTCACAACCTATTTCTCTCGTAGTTTCTGAACTACCTGTGGTAGACATTGAAGTCGTTACGACACTATATAGTTTTTTAAATTACTAGATTATTGAGACTATTAGTAATATTTAAGACGAATTTGTCTACAAAAATCCACTGTGTTGAAAGGTTGTATCAAGATATATCTACAATAGTTTTTTTTATAATTGTTTCGAGACAATGCAGTCTATAGATAATAAAACAT